CAATCTTTCAAACCTCTCTGTCAGAGAAAACTCCAGATGCAATTACCTTTCACTAAAGAAAGGTGTATTTCAACAGGCTGGTGAATATGTGTTTACCACACACACACCACACAGTAAACCCTGTAGCCACTGGAACAAACACCCTGCTCTCCCCAGAAACCCACCCCCTCCCCAAACAGTACACAGTGATTGCTTTCCTTCCAGACTCTCCCTCACCTCTGGGAGAATTGAAGCAAGCAGGAGCAGCTCCTCCATCAAAACCCCCCAGAGGCCACAACTCACTTTACAAATTTGAATCGGTACATTTCATGCAGACTTGGACTATTCCCCCCAAAAACAAACAGGCCACCACAGTAAGCAAAGTTACACAAAATTATATTGTATATTTAATAACAGCTAAGTCAATTTTCTACACCTATACCACTCATATATTTCCCTAATGACAGAAACAAGAGAGAAGGGATTAAAACCCAAGTGTCCTGGGAAGCCTTCCTGACCACACTCACTCACACGATAGCAAGTGTTGTTCGGAGACGGAGAAAGGAGTCTGCTGAGCACCTCCTTGTTCTCGGAGGGCAATAAATATGGTGTCTGCAGAGGAAGGAGGAGCTGTGGACTCCTCACTCTTCCCCTAGCAGGCAAATAGGGCAACTGGGTCTCCGCATTCATTTCACCCCCCAGGGCCCCAGGCCCCCAGGCCCCCAACCCCCTGCAAACCAAAGATGGATAAGCATTCACACTCCCGGGATGGTGTGAGCACTCAGCCGCCTGAGTGAGCCCAGGCCTCAGGCATGTAGTGCTCTCCCCCACCCCTCCACCTCAACTCGGGCCTCTAGAAAGAGAGAATGTTCCTCAAGCCCCAAGAGTCTTTCAAGGGTCACAGCTACTGTCCATCACGCTGGTGGATGAAGGCACAGCAGTGACCTGGGGCCTGCATTGTGGTCGTCACTCAGCACCACAGGACGCGGCTCTAGGCTAGAGACCTGAGCTCAAACAGCCACCTCTTCTGTACCACACCACGTGTGCCCTGTGTCAGTCTTCCCCTAGCCTCACTTTCTCCCTCTGCTGGAGAGGGCGGAGTTTCGGGCACTTAGTATCACCTGGCAGCCATTACAGTTACGCGCCCATCTCACCTCACCACGGAATAAAATCCTCACAGGAGGCTCCATCTACCAAGGGTTCGGTCAATACGTGGGGAGGGGGGAGGAAGAAGGAAGGGAAGAGATGGAAAGTCGAGGGAAGGAAGGAGTGTTTAGCAGTTCCTTATTTCCTCACGCTTATTTGCTAAATTCATTCAGCTGGAAATAGTTTTTAAATGGCAATACAACTTATTGCACATTTTAAAAATTCTGCTTTTCTGTGTTACTCCTGGAAAAGTGCTCAGAATCCAGCGTGACCTCAGGAGGTTGTGTGTGAGCTACACAAGCACACCTGGACATACGCCCTTATGCCCCAGGTGAGCCTCCCATAGCTTCTCTCTCTTCCATCTCAGCCTGTCCTCCTTTCCCTCATCAAACAACTCCAGGCCGGGCACCCTCTCTGGAAGAAAGGCTTCACCAGTAAGTCAGGAATCTTAAAAACAGGATCCCTGGTGTCAGGGCAAGAAGACGGGCAGGAGGGCACACAAGAAGTAGAGAAAAAGGTCCTTGTCTGCCACCCTCCTGGGGAGACTACTGGTTTTCCTTCTGTGGTTTCGAGCACCTAAACACCGCTCTAAGCCCAGATCTTGTATTAAATATCACCCTCCACAGCTATTTACCAATCAAGAACTCAAGGAAGGAAAGGTGACATTTGGACACAGGACAGAATACTGGCTTTCCCCCAGTCACGAGCACCTCAAATAAAGCCTGAGGCTTGAGGTTTCATGTTTCTTACAAGTGTCTAAGCACACACCTAAGAAAAGGTGGCAGCAAAGCCCCAGCATCATAGATAAATACGATGCAGAGCTCTGACAAACTGTTTTCAATGGAAGAGAGATTAATTGAGAAAAGGGATGTGGCACGTCTCCTACCCGTTCAGGATCCTTCTAAAGGGATGAGGGAGCAGTGAGAGACTGGGAAGTCATCGGGTCAATCAGGAATACCGGCCCCAGAGGGTAGCTGCTGCCCACCTCCCCTCACGTTCTTTGTGAGGGGTTCACGGCCACATGCCAGTAGTGACCACATGCACACCGATGACCGTACTCAACAGGGTAGGTGGCAGGGAGGGGAACAGAAGACAGCCAGCGAGGGCAGGAACACATGGGGTGGGGTGGGGGACGAAAGATTCCTGCTGAGGGTCCCGCATCTCAAGAAGACTGCAGACGAGCAGCGTAGCTCCAGGAGGGACAGAAGCCCCCAGCCAAGCTGGAGACATGAGAGCAACTAAAGCCTCTGAACAAATGCCACCCAGGAGAGGAGAGATTCTGTTTGACATGATAAGATAGCCCTTTTAGCTTTGCCAAGTATTTTCTTTTTAAGATTTTATTTATTTATTTGCCAGAGAGAGAGCACGCACACACAAGCAGGCAGAGTGGCAGAGGAAGAAGCAGGCTCCCCGCTGAGCGAGGAGCCCGATATGGGGCTCGATCCCAAGACCCGCGGATCATGACCCGAGCTGAAGGCAGACGCTTAACTGACTGAGCCACTCAGACATCCCTGCTGAGTATTTTCTTATCATCTCAGGTCATCCTCACAATCATCTAGTGAGGTCTATAAAGGAAGCAGTATCCACATTGAAAAAATGAGGAAACAGGCTCAGAGAAGGGAATGACTTACCTGAGGCCACCCTGCTGATGGTGGCAAAGCAGAACCTCAGTCTTCCAGAACAGACCCTGAGGCCAGGAGGCAGGGTCTCCCCAGGTTGGGAAAATGGAAGCATTCATTGACAGGTTCAAATTCATGGACACGGAGGGAAGAAATGGATCTAATAATGGGATGAAACCGCCCTAGCCAGGACACTTCAGGGTAAGAGAGAAAACGGGGGAGAGAGCAGCAGCATCTACCCTGGCCATCCAGTAAAGCCAGGATCCCCAATGCAAAGTATTTTCAAAGAGTCCACAACATCATCTGTTGAGCTGGGGAAAAGGTCATCTCAAACAACTGTGGTTCAGGAGCTGAAAAGCCAGTCAACAGTGACTGAGAGAGTCATCGTAGGGCCAAGGAAATACACCAAGAGGACAAGGAGACTCTGAAGGAGAATGAGAAGAGAACAAAAGACCCAGGTTTTCACCAAAAATGAGGCACATCAAGGACTTAGCAAAGGGTCTGGCATAGGGCAAATGACTAATACACACACACTGGGGCCACTGTAGGCTAGTACTGGTGCTGTCAGAAAGCTAGGTCCTTCCTCAAAGCCGGTCTGCAAGTCGTGGCCAAAACAAAACCCAGTGTACTGTGTTCTAAAGTGCTTCTCAATGCCGAGACAGACTCTGAGCTCAACCTCTTTTACTGAAACTATCTTCAACAGTTGTCATGCTCTATTCTGTTACGGGGTAGCCTGACACATTCCAGAGAGATGGCTGGAGCAAGGGATGGGGTGCTAGTTGAAGCTGGCTGTGTTCTTTGGCCTAAATCTCCAGCCCTGAAGAGCTTCCCTCTACCACCGGCCCCAGCCCAGTCCATCCCAGTCTCTTGAAGCCAGCAGATGTCCATTGGATAGTCACCAGCCCACCTGCCACCTCCCACAGGCTCTTCTGCCTTCCTTCAATCCTTACACACATCCAGCCCACAGACCCCCAAGCCTGGCCAACTGGCTTTAAAAGGGGCAGCAGTGGAAAAACACTGTGGAGGGGACCGTGTCCGATGGCTCTGTTCTCCACCGTCTGCTCCCACACACTTAGGTCTCTCTACTCCCTGCTGGTCTTTCCTTCCCTCTTTCCTAGGATTGCTAGAATGATTTGTTCTGAACAGCGACAGGTTTATAGGTTAGCCGACACCTCCGCTCTGTGGAATTTTAATTAACTTCTCCCATCGTCAATATGCTAAGGAACGGGGTCTCCATTCTCTGGGGTCAGCAATGTGTTTCAGGTCCTGCTATATCAGCCGTCAAATTGAAGAATTAATGACGTGGCTAATCGGCTCTAATTCTTTAGAAAGAAAAAAATTTTAAAGGGAGTTGTAGAAGGGGGCAGGAGGGGTGCAGGCTCCATGGGGTGAGGAGAGGGAGGCTGAAGGGGGCTGAGTTGGTGGGGGGAATCAACTCTCGTAAAACTAGTGACTGACTTAAACCCCATGTTGGAGGGTGGCAGCCCTACAGCTTGCCCACTGATCACTTAGGTGAGGAGTGAGGGATGAAGGAAGTGAGGGAAGACCCTAGAAAAACAAACACTCTGATAGAGCAGGTGCAGGAGAGAGTCTATGTACCCTGCTGGGGAGGAGAGAGGCTCTGCCTTGGTTCAAGAAAGCCTAGAAAGCAGAAATCAGGATGCAGAGCTCACTTGTTTACTGGTAAAGCTAGAGAAAAAGAGGCCAAAGAGTAAAGTAAAGCTGCCATCAAAAATTTGGCACTTCTGCTACAATTATCACCCTATGCCACATACCTGTCCCCAATTGGACATGGGCCCCACGCCTCTCCTGATGACTCAGGTCTGTAAGGGATACTCCAGAAGACATTTCCCAAGGGGAACAAACCAGATGTGGGTTGTGAGAGCAGGCTGGCTGGTGCAGTAACTTCCCCAGGGTGCTAACAGGCCTCTGCTTTGGAAGTAACCCCGGAGGGCATAGGCTCCAGAAGGGGCACTCTTGTAACAGCTGGCCTCAGTCACATTTTAATGGTATTTTTTCCCCTCATATTTCTGGAGTAGATGCCTAGGAAGTTAACCTCTGGAATGTTGTCTCTACCCCACACACATATGAAGTGAGCCACAGACTTCAAGCCTCTGGAGGATTTTCAAAATCTCCAGAAGACAGGCTCAAAGCAACCTAGAATATACAGGAGGAGGATTTCCTAGCCCACCCAACCTCAGAAAATAAAAGCATTATTATACAGGACAAAACCATACCCCAAAACGTCTCCCTTACCTTAGTACTGGGCTGATTGCAATGGACCAGACTCGGTCTTCAGTCTGGATGGTATGTAAGCACTGCCCCAGCCGACCTGATGCCAAAGGCCAAACCTGGAAACAGGAGAGGAGACGCTCTCGTTGGCACTGCCAGGGACTGAGATGCGGGATGAGTGTCCTGGGGAGGTGGGGGAGGGGAACGGAAACTCCTTTCTGTCCTGCATATGCCGAGTTCAGAGAATGAGCAGAGAAGCCTCCCCAGCCTCTGGCTCACCCCCCTGACTCCCAGTCCGAACTGCCCTCCTTAACATCCACCTGAGAGCCCTTCTTCATCACCCAATCTTGTATCAGGGAATCAGAAGCTCCACACTCTTCAGCTGAGCCTTGACTCAGCACGGTGAGCAGGTGGAACTCACCTCTCTTAGTAACTTCCTTGTGTTTGTGGGTTTTCCTTTTTCCTATCTCTCAACCAGATTTTTCTTTGGGCGGTAGGGAGGAGGATGATCAAGGCCCAGTATGGGGGAACAAAGATGGAATTAGAGCAGAATTAAGAGAGAGGAGTAAAAAGAAAGACACAAGGGAAGGAAAGAATGGAAGAAGAAGAGCGGCTTCAAAGCACGAAGGTGGTGTGTTGTTGTTTGTTTGTTGATAATGCCCAGGATCCAGTGCTATTCATGTCAGCAGGGAATTTAGCACCTAGTGTCACCAAAAGTAGCAGAAAAGCTTAACTCTTTTAAGCTTCCATATCTCCTACAGGTTAAAAATATTGCTTGGAGCACGTTATCTGGTCCCTATCAGTCAGGAATGTACATTAGCAGCCACTCCGGGCTTAGCTCTAATCAACACTCAGGGAGCCCTCAGCAGCCAGTGCATTTAGAAATCTCCCATTAAGCACAAGGCCCCCCTCACCTCACCCAACCCCGGATGACACACTCGGGGAAATAAGCCTCTAACCAAACAGAAAGGAAGCCTCGAATGTACAGGGCTGTCCCAGACAGTGGCCAAGGAGGGATCCTGAGGCTGCCAGATGGATCACTGACCTCTCAAGGTCCCTGCAGTGCTATAAGGGGGAACACACAAAAGCCAGTCAGGACCTTAGATGGAAGAACTTTCAGGAGACATTCCTTGAGTTTAAGGGGCAGGTGACGGAGTGGGGGTGGTCTGGCCTTCTTAGGGTCACATGACATGTCTTCCCTATAAAAGGAGAAAGTGTTTTAAGATTTTGTGTATGCATGACAGGGGGAGGAGGGTGTGAGTTCCTTCCAATATAGGGAAAAGAAAATAAACTTAAGAAGATCCTGAACAAGGAGGGGCAGAAAACAAAGGTAAATACCACAACTTTCCTGGAATGCCAGGATTCTGGCTTACCCTTCTGGATCTACAGCCATGCCACTTTGCCTGTCACTAAATGCACTTCTAATGCCTTCTTTCACACAGACCCAGCCCGGAGGAGAGGTTTGCCTTTTCTCAGATGCCAACTCTCTAGAACGCAGGTCGGAGGGTGAGGAGACACTAAAGCCCTCTGATTATAAAATCTATGGGGATAGTTCCAGTCCTGAACTCACCAGTGCCCCCCACGGAAGGGGCTGGTGGATTCTGACACTGTGCAAACCACAGGACAAGGTGTCTGGTCTCCAGGAGGACCTCAGGAGGCTTGCTGCTGGTGCTGAGCATGACGTTGGGGAAGCGCTGCCCTAGCAGGAACCCAAGTGTCATGACGCCCGAGGGAGGGGAGGTGACAACAACGTGCTGATCACACATCTTCACCCTCAGCAGTCAAATCCAAAACAAACCCATCCCTGGAAAAGATATAACTCAGTAGAAGTGGACATTTATATAGTCCTTTCAAAAAGCAGTTGACGATATGTATCAAGACTCTTAAAATGACCAAAGCCTCACACCCAGTAATTCTATTGCTGAGACTCTACCCGAAGATAGTAATTCTAAAACGAAGAGAAACCTATATGGTAAAAATATTCCCAGCAGCCTACGGCTGCAGGAAGAGCAGATAGGGCAGGCGTGGGCTTTGGAGTCAGACACATGTGGGTCTGAACCCAGTTGTTATTTATTATCTCTGATCTTAAGGATGTTTCAGGACTTCTTAGCCTCAGTTTCTTCATATGTACAATGGAAAATAATACCTATCTTTTGAGGGCTGCAGAAAAGTCAAGAAATGCGTAAAGCACCAAACATAGTAACCCAGCATCTGGCAGGTATCCAGCATTCAATAACGGTGGGTCTTATTACTCATTAAGCCATTGAAGATGACACTTAAAAATAATATATAATAATAATAGAAAACCTTTAAAATAAAGTAGATACAGTAGGGTATATTGGATATCCAAAATATATTATGAGCATAATTTGTGGGGAAACAATTCTCCTAAAGGAGAAAAGGAGAAAATGAACAATTATAAGGTGCTTAGCATCGTGCCTGGTTACTTATATATAAACAAGCAAACCTCTGCATTGAAAAATAACTAAAAGAAGAAAAAAACAACAAGTTCAAATGTTCCTTCCTTCATAAAGTCTCCCCTTTCAAGCCAGATGTGATCTCTCCACCCTGTGAACTTTCTGGCCCTCTCTCTAGAGCCTTGCACACTTCACAGTCCCGGCCACTTCTCATCAGCTTCAGAGCCACTGCAGGCATGTCTGAGCTCGCCTCAAGAGGAGAGGCTGGCTCTTCCTCACCTTTGAAGAGCCCCAGTGCCTTGTACACTATGCCTTGCATACAGTAGGTACTTTTAAGAATAAATGGAAGAATAGAGAACTAAGGGAGACAACGAAAGAATGGTCAGGACCAGCCCAGGCCCACTGAGAACATTCCTACAGTCCTATCACATATCAGGATGGAGGGGCAATCCAAACTAAGCCACAGTAAGTTTGAAAGTGGCGGGGCGGGGGGGGGTGGCGTGGGGAAGAAGGCTCCCTGAGCAGTTCCTAACTCAGAAGTCTTACAAAGAAAATGTTTTAGTTCCTTTCACCCCAATAAAACAAATCTCTTTCCTAAAACACAGTACGTATTTGGGGGAACTCCCAACAAACAGGCTATAGATGTTTACAGGCAAACATGACTAAGTTCTCATGTAGGTTGGGGTGTATTAGAAGCCTACAGAAGCAGCTATGGGACCGCAGATGCCACCAAAAAGAAATGGAGGGCTGGTTATACAAGATTAGCACTGGGTAACGTAGAAACAGGTCAGGAAGATGAAGGCAGCTAGAGGCAAAGACAGCAACGGAGAGGGAGCAGAAGCAGCGTCCAGAAATCTGCAAAGATGAGCTGGCCTGGAGGTCACTGGGGAGCCCCAAAACAGCAGGCCAGCTTTCTGGAGTTGAAGAACCGGGCGGGGGAGGGGGGGATTCTGTCACTGACTTAAAAGAAATCCTCAAAGGAAACAGGATGAACTGCGGTGACAATTTTGTAATTAGAAAGTACCTACTTTAATGCTTAAAAAAAACTGAATCCACCAAATAGGGGTGAGTCGGTACTTAAAACATGAAACTAACCCAATATCCCAAATATTGGGATTACTATCCTTTGACTACAAGCAGTCCATCCCCCTGAATTGCTACCTTTGGTCAAAAAGCTTAGTTTTAAACTGCTCTGGGTGTCAGACCACAGAAAAGAGGATAGAAGAAAGGGATGTCACTGAAAAGGAGGGGCCAGGGGAGACTTGAAGCCATGACAGGAAGATGCCAGAGGAGATGGGAATATTTTTAGGTCACACTGCCAAAAAGATTTCTATGCAAATTGTTTCTGAGGAGTACAGCAGGTTAAGGCCAGTCTGTTTGCAAGGAATGGTACAACTACAGTGACCAATCAGAAACCTGAAGTAAGTATAGGGTAGGGGAAACGGGAAACAGGCAATAGGAAATTCAGTTTCCAAGTTGGTTCCAAAGATTTTCTGGGCTTTTCTCAGGCTTCCTGTGCTGGTGTGCATGTCTCTGACAGAATACAAAGTGTAAGGAAGAAAAGAGCAAAGGGAGGAGAAACTTCCAGAAGTAAAAAGGAACATATGTTGCCCTTCTTTTTATATAAATTGGTGGCATTTTTATATGAAGGGATAATCACCAGAGGGTACATGGAGTCAGAAAAGTTAATGAGTAAAAACTGCAACTTTCCTCTCCGGAGACCCTCCCTAGGTGTCTTAGCAGCCTATTTGCTGACACGAAGAGGCATTTTGCTCCTGTTGGCACTATGAAGTCTCCAGATGCCGGGAAACAGGCAAGTAAGATACTATCGGGCTTCCTACACCTCGACTGAATTGTCAGTGAAGTTCCCACAGCAGCCCCAAAGGACCAGATGTGTGCAGGCCCTGCCTAGGGCTGCTGGACACAGGGAGGGAGAAAGACATTCTTCTCTGTCTCATGGGTGGAGGCCTGTTTGACTCAAACATGGATGAGCAGAGTCCCTAAAGCAGGGGTCACACTACTTATCGGCCTCATTCTGTTGGCAGATGACTGACTGTAGCCCAGGCAGTTTGGCAATGACGCACCAAAACGCCTTTCCCTCCTTGTCTTTCTACTGCTTGCTGACCACATCACTCTCCAGAGAAGCAGTAAAAACACATTTTAATTATCAGCCTGATTGCTTATAAACACGGTGGTGAAAAATTAACCTCCCTAAACAGAGAGCAAGCAAAAGGAGGGAGATTTTAAAATAAAATATTGGGGTCAGAACTCAGCCCACAAACTTGAGGAAATTCAGCGCAGGGAGGAAAAGCTGGCCAGGCCCTCTGTTTTTGAGTTCACGCCACATTTCAAGTGAGTGGCAAGCTTCCCAGCCACTGTCCACTCCTTTCTCAGGCCAGCTGGCAGGGACATAGTCTGGCACTGCAAACTGCATGCCAGAGGCACATAAGTGAGTCCTTTATCGTGTCGTCCCCTCCCGCCCCCACCCAGCGCCCTCAGCCAATCCCAAGACTCAAGGCCCTATCCACCCTCTCCCACCCCACTCCCTATAGACAGGAGGGAATAACCATACGTAAGGAGGAGACCACTCACCTTGGCCGTCCTGTCCCTAGAGCCACTCACAATGATGCCCCCTCTGCAATCCACACAGTTCACCTCCTGTTCATGAGCCGAGTACTTGACAGTGAAGGTGCTATGAATCTTATGAACGCCAATCTTCCCATCTCTAGGAGAGAAATAGGGAGACCACCCCCAATAGCCAATTATTCTCTGTCGGAAGAGAACAAGGCTACAGAAGCAGCCTGAGTCTCCAGTGATGTCCAAATTTGCTGTTTTAGGCAATTCAGCTCAACAAGGCGCTGAGCTTTGAGACACCTCTACTTCTTCAGTACACTTGGGGCTGAACAGAGCTGAGAGACAAAACAAACTTCCCCTATGAGAGTATCAAAACCAGCTTCACTTTTCATTAAAGGCTCTTCCTGTTTTCCTTCTCCAGCTAACCCTATTAATAGTGCCTTTGGTAAATCTCTCTGCTTCAAATGGAAAAACAAAAACAAAAACAAAAACACTCCCTCTTCCTATGGTCTCCCTCCTCATCCCTTTGGAGTTGAGAAAGAAAAGTCAAGAGGCAGGCAAGGAGAAGTTCCCTGAAGAATGCGAAGGAAGAAGTAGAAGGAGACTCCTGCAGCACTTACCCTCCTGCACTGATAATGTGCGAGTTGGCCAGCACAAAGTGGCAAACGTCCTCATCATGCCCAGCAAAGACTCCCAGGGGCCGACGGTTCAAGCTGGCACCATCTGGGCGGAACTGATAGGCCAGGATGAAATTAGCCTGGGATATGTACAGAGAATCACCTTCTAGCTGCATCCAGGGCATCTGACTGCAGAGATGTAAAACACAATTTAAGAATCAACGAGATACAGTATGAAAACGGACTCCAATCTTTGGAGAGGCTGACTGATCCCCAACTTAGCAAGGATAACTTGTACGGCTCAGCCTTTACCTCCCCAATCTCCTGTAAAACTACCTACCCTTAGGCCACCCTTAGAAAACCTGGGCGCCTGGGTGGCTCAGTCGGTTAAGCGACTGCCTTCAGCTCAGGTCATGATCCCAGGGTCCTGGGATCAAGTCCCACATCGGGCTCCTTGCTCCGCGGGGAGCCTGCTTCTCCCTCTCCAACTCCCCCTGTTTGTGTTCCCTCTCTCACTGTCTCTCTCTCTGTCAAATAAATAAATAAAATCTTAAAAAAAAAAAAAAGAAAACCAGAGAGACAGAGCTTTCTGGTGTGCATGTCTCTGACAGAATACAAAGTGTAAGGAAGAAAAGAGCAAAGGGAGGAGACACTTCCAGAAGTAAAACTTTGTTTTGAAAGTTCTGGACTTTATAAAAGAAAGTCAGAACTACAAGACCAATTAAATATCACTCTTAATTGGAGAATGCTTAAGACTCGAATTACTGGCAGCGTAGACTTCTTGGGGGTAGGCAGATCTCAGCAAATTCAATGACTGGGGCGCAGAGAGGGTTAAAAAAGAAACCTTCCAGGGAGCCTGGGTGGCTCAGTCCATTATATGCCTTCCACTCAGGTCATGATCCCAGGGTCCTGGGATCGAGTCCCGCATCGGGCTCCTTGCTCCTCGGGAAGCCTGCTTCTCCCTCTGCCTGCTGCTTCCCCTGCTTGTGCTCTCCCTCTAAATAAATAAATAAAATCTTAAAAAAAAAAAAAACCTCCACCCAGATGAAGTGATTTTCTTTCATTCTGCATCCTCCCTGATTTGAAGTGTTAAGTGATAAGTTTCGAGGTTCCAAGACTCCCACACATACTTCTACCTCTTCCTCCAACAGAGCAAATGGAGAAAAGAGAAGAGTGAGCCCCAAGAAGCCCTATTCCCTTATCCCACTATGCAAAGGGGCTATTTATAAGTGAAAGGAATAAGGCCACTTAGGAAAGGATGCTAATGTACTAGTTAGCTATCTAGATCCTCACATGGGATATCTGCGTTTCTGTATTAGAGGGTAAGTGGGGCAATGGGAAAACACAGCTCCGCAGCAGTCCACTACAGTTTGGGGGCTCCAGAGAAATAATCAGCTCTCCTAGGCAGGTGATAAGAGAAATCCACAAATAGTTAAAGATTCCCTCTATAGTATGGCAGGAGGAAGAAAGGTTAGAAGCCACAGGCCAGTCCCACGGCACGGAATGAGCCTTAAGAAAGAAGACTCTGCCAGGGGCGCCTGCATGGCTCAGTCAGTTAAGCGACCAACTCTTGATTTCAACTCAGGTCACGATCTCAGGGTCTTGAGATCAAGCCCGAGACAGGCTCCACTCAGCATGGAGTCTGCTTGTCCCTCTCCCTCTGCTCCTCCTCTTGTGCTCTTTCTCTCTCTCTTTCTCTCTCTCTCTCTCTCACACACAAATAAATAAAATCTTTTTAAAATAAGGAAAGAAAAAGAAAGGAAGGAAGGGAGGAAGGGAGGGAGGGAGGGACACAGAGGAAGAGAAATAGACAGAAAAAGAATAAAGAAAAAAGAAAAGAAGAGAAAGGCAGACAGACTCTGCCAGACCCCAGGCTCTCTGGTGGGGACTAAGCCCCTTTCCCAAGGTAGACATCCCAGCAGCCTGTCCTACTCTATGTAGGAGTTCTGGAGCTACCAGATCCCAAGTAAAGCATAGGGACAGCTGATTCATCTGCATTTACAGAGACACCATCTCCCACTGCCAAGCCTGTCTGAGCAACCTGGGCTGTGTTTCTTCCCCACACTCCTTAATACAAGCGTCATGGGAATGTGGAAAAGTTCTGCAAATTGACTTGACGGGCCATTAAATGCAGCTTGGCCTTTGTAGTAGCTGAGTTTCTGCTCAGGGGGTTTTTACAAGTGTGTGCATATATTCTACAGACCATGTGTAGAGTTGCCTACATTCTCACTCATTATACACTTCCCCCTTCAAAATCCCCTTGCACAGGTTTGTGGCACAGTCAAGTGGGGTGGTTGGAATGCATGTGTTTAGAGCCATCTGGTAAACAGCCATTTGCCTAGGACAAGAAACCAGGTTCATGCCAGGTGAACAGTGGAGAATCCTGGGGCAGCCTGGTAACTGCTTTGTGTGTTTATTTGCCAAACTGCTTTGAAAACCATCCCCAAAAAAGACGTCAGGGACAAAACCTTGATACAGAAATAAACTCCACTTTCTGGTATTAAAAGGTAAAAGCAGGAGGCAGAGGGTAAAGTTTTTTTTACCATAAAAATCAGTCTTTCTCCCTAGTAGTTTCTTTACTACCACCAGGACCCCCGCATAACTCACAGCAACCACCACCCATGAAAGCAGCAGAAACTGGACACCAGCAAGAGAGAAGGGGTCTTCAGATGAAGAAGCCTGTCTGCAGGTCAACCTGGAATGAGGAACATGACGTTCCTTATCCATTCCAACCAATCAACAAGGAGCACTTCTTTGGTAGGGAGTCAAATGATAACTATGAAATAACGTAGCATCGGTGAAGCATAAAATTTGCGGCATTAGCAATCCAAAGCCACTGTCTAAATTTCCTCGCAGTTCTGAACTCTACCTCCTGTAACATCTATAGCCAAGCCTTTAGGTCCTATTTTGCCTTCTTAATAAAGTTGGGCAGAGGGCTAATGGAGGGAAGGAAGCGAAGGCATAACTCCATAGAGTAGATTTAAAGAAAAATAACTGTAAAACAAGATGGTTTGAAATGCTGGCTTCATTTATTTCTTTTGATGAGGTACATTAACAGTGGTTACCTCTGAGTGGTAGCATTATACGGAAGTTTTATTTCCTCTTTAAATGCTTCTATTTTTTCAATAGAATAAACGTGTTATTTTTATAATCATAAAAATGTGGAATTTGTTAAAGTACATTTTTTGGTAATTTTTACAAATGTAAAGAAAAAAAGTCCCTCCGATGCCCCCTTTGCCACACCTCAGGAGAGGCACATATCCACTCTAGCTAGGACCAGACTTTTTACTTCCCAGCATGCTTTTCTGTCCCAGGTAGCTTTAAGAGTCAAGAGGCTACCTACCTGCATCTCCACTTCAGCAGGATCCCCTCTCGGCAGCGCCCCAACCTCCAGTTCTGAGACACCTTCACTCGTTCCTTCACCGGGACACTGGCCATCCTGTGTTCAGACAGAACAGATAACCCAGTCACGACAACTCATTGCCAACCAGAGAAAATTCCACAGGCTTAAGTCAGAACTCAGGAGTATCTAGAATACGTCTAGATATAAGTGATGGGGTTAGGACACCAGAAAGGAATAACTTTCTCTCTCCACCCTGGGATAACCAAGAAAGCCAAGGAGAACAGCCTGTCCATTACAGAGTCTGTAGCGATGCCAAAGCAATCTAATGGAGAAAGGATAACAGAGAGTTGGAACCACTGGCTATCCCTAAGGAAAAACACAAACTCTGACTCCTACCTCATACCAAACAGAAAAGTTAATTCAAAATAAATTTAAACATAACATCTAAAACTATAAAGCTGATAGAAGAAAATATATCAAAATATCTCTGCAACTTGGGGGCTAAGCAAAGGTCTCTTAAAACACAAAAGGCAATAGCATAAAAGAAAAGTCTAATAAATGAGACGTTACCAAAATTTTAAATTTTTGCTCACCAAAATTAATATACATACCACAGTCTGGGGGAAAACGTTCACAAAATGTATACTTGACAAATGGCTTATATCCAGAAAATATGAAGAAATTATAAATACATATGTATAATTGTATGCATATGTATATATTATACATGCATTTATATATGTATATGTAATTTTATACCTGTAATTGTGTGTGTGTATATATAAACTAATATATAACACTCAATTATATGCACAAATATATATACACACACACAATTATATACATATGTATATGAATATATATTTTTTGAAGGCCAGTAAAAACTCTGTTACAATCTTGGTGGGAAAGCAAAATGGTACACCCAATTTGGAAAAATGTCTGGAAGTTTATTATAAATCTAAACATATACCTACTCTATGACTTAGCAATTACCCAAGAGAAAGCATATGTCCACAAACAGACTTGCACAAGAATGTTCGTAGGAACTTTAGTCATTAACAGCCAAAAGTTGAAAACAGCCCAGGCAGCCATCAAGAGGAGAATGGGCATACACCCTTTGGTATATATTCATCCAATGAAATGCTACTCAGCAATAAAAAGGAAACAACTACTGACATACACAGTAATGTGGGTGAATCTCAAAAACATTATGCTGAATGAAAGAAACGTTACACATGGGGCGCCTGGGTGGCTCAGTTGGTTGAGCGGCTGCCTTCGGCTCAGGTCATGATCCCAGGGTCCTGAGATCAAGCCCCGCATCGGGCTCCCTGCTCAGGGGAGAGCCTGCTTCTCCCTCTTCCTCTGCCTGTAGCTCTGCCTACTTGTGCTCTCTCTCTCTGTCAAATAAATAAATAAATCCTTAAAAAAAAAAAAAAGAAAGAAAGAAAGAAACGTTACACAAGAGTTCATGTTGTATGATTCTGTTCATGTGAAGTTTGAGAAGGAGAATTAATCTATAATGGAAGAATCAGAAAGTGATTACCACTGGGAATCCTATCACTGGGAAGGGGATTGACTGGGAAGGAACATGCAGAAACTTTCTGGAGTAACATTCTATATCTAAATCTTAAGGGGATTTGGGTTACACGGGTATGTATGCTTTAGTCAAAAATGCATCAAATGAAAAAAAATGTACCAAATGGAAAAAAAAAAATGCACCAAATGATATACTTAAGATTTGAGCATTTCACTGTATAGAAATTTTTCTTAAACAAAAAAGCCCATAAACTAATATATACCAATTATATGCATGCATGCTGAAGTGTTTACAAGTGAAGTGTACTGATATCCACAACTCACTTTGAAATGCATGATAAAGCAAATACAGTGAAATGTTAACTATAGAATCTAGGTTGTGGGCATATGAGTGTTCATGGTACATTTCATTCAACTTTTCTGTTTTGAATTTTTCAATTAAGAAAATGTTGGGAGTGTCAATAGTACTTTCTGGGTGAGGAAAGTTAGAGCAGTAAGAGAGAAGGGAGCGCACCAGCAACAGGAATGGCATAGTTTGTGACTGGGTTGGAGTGGTAGGGGACAGGGAGAAGACCACAAAGCCCCTCTGAAAATGCACCTTTGGACAGAATTCTGCAATTATGGGCAAGAATTTGAAAACTTCACCTTGAGCCCCATAGCTCCCCTGTGTTTCCCTGGCCTGCTCCATTGGACAATAAAGGTACACTGCTTGGAACAGAGTAATAACTACCAGGTCTATTGAGAAAAAAAGAGAGACATGCATTTCTTCCAGTCTCTGCTATACCCTCACATTTACTACCGTTTGCTAAAAGTCAGCAATCAAGTCCTGCTTTCAAGATTACAACAGATACAGGTTAGAAATGATGGTTTTAGGGGCGCCTGTGTGGCTCAGTCGGTTAAGTGTCTGCCTTCGGCTCAGGTCATGATCTCAGGGTTGTGGGATCGAGTCCTGTGTCAGGCTCTGCGCTCAGTGGGCAGTCTGCTTGAAGATTCTCTCCCTCTGCCCTTCCCTCCACTCACTCTCTCTCTCTCAAATAAATAAAAATCTTTTTTAAAAAGTTTCCTTCCTGGGGCACCTGGGTGGCTCAGTTGGTTAAGTGGCTGCCTTCAGCTTGGGTCATGGTTCCAGGGTCCTGGGATCGAGCCCCCTACCGGGCTCCCTGCTTGGTGGGATGCCTGCTTCTCCCTCTCCCACTCCCCCTGCTTGTGTTCTTTCTCTAGCTCTCTCTCTGTGTCAGTTAAATAAATAAATAAAATCTTTATTAAAAAAAAAGTTTCCTTCCTGTTGTTTAAATGTGTACAGTATTTTTTCTAATTATGGATAAGACTGAATATCTGGTCATATGTTTGAAAGCCATTAGCATTTCTTCTGGGAAATGCTTGTTCATACCCTTTGTCCCTGTTCCTATGAGAACTTTGGTCTTTTTCTTGTGAGTGTGTAAAGCCTCTTTATATAATCTGTATTGTCAATTTTGTTCCAATTTATTATTCTTTTTATAGCATTTTATCCATGTGGACACTTAAAAAATTTTTACATATCCATGACTTCATGTCAATCTTCTGAAACACTTTAAAGAGAGTAAATGTTCAGGAAGGGGTTTCTTATTTTAATTTTCTGGCTAGAAGATCAACCCAAAATAGATTTTTTTTTTTTTTTAAGTAGGCTCCATGCCCAATGTGGGGCTTGAACTCATGACCCTGAGATCAAGGATCACATGTTCTACTGACTGAGCCAGCCAGGCGCCCCCAAAATACATTTTTATTTCAATTTTACTATGGAAAATCTTTCAACATAGTGAGTAGAGTTTAGTTAACCCAACTGAATACTTTTTTTTTTTTTTAAGATTTTATTTATTTGCGAGAGAGAGAATGAGAGACAGAGAGCATGAGAGGGAGGAGGGCCAGAGGGAGAAGCAGACTCCCTGCTGAGCAGGGAGCCTGATGTGGGACTCGATCCCGCGACTCCAGGATCATGACCTGAGCCGAAGGCAGTCGCTTAACCAACTGAGCCACCCAGGCGCCCCTGAATACTATTTTTAAAATGATGTAGAATGTTTTAATCTCTCTGGATCATAATTCCAAAGATAATTTATTTAACATTTAATATGGTGTTTATGATGTGCCAGGAACTGTTTTCCATTTACCCAATACCTATGCATATTAAGTATCAATGTGTTTGTTGATAGTGCAATTATACTTCCTGTATTTTATCCAATTAGAAGACCTTGGAAATAAGCGATAAGCAAACTAGCTGATACTTCAATTTAAAAAGAGAAAGCCAGGAATGACCCAAACTGATATGAACTTAATATATAACAAACAAAGTAAAATTTTAAAGTAAGGAAAGAAATCACTACTTCATTAGTGTTGTTGGGTTTATGTAGCATGTTCCCAAGTTTATGAGGAAGAAGGGAGGGAAGAGGAATACACATGCCTAGAAAGAACATGGGAAGTAAATACTCTAAAATAGTAAACTAGGTCCCACCCCCCCTCACTTATTGGGGACGCTATAGGACAGTGAAGGAATGGTCAGACCAATGCAATATTTATAAAATGAACAATTAAAAGTAAAAAAACAAAATCGTTAACTCTGGATAGCCAACTTCGTGTGTTTTTATTTTCTTTGTGTTTTTATGTATTTTCCAATTTCTCTACACTGTAATATTTTGGTGAAGAGGAAAATACTCATTAAAATAATAAATTATTATTAATGCTGGTGACAAAACTGGGTATCAATGGAGGAAAAAACTGATTTAGACGGTATCTCATAACCCAATATAATAAATCCCCCCAAAATGAGAGTGAATTTAAAATATTTTTTTTACTAGAAGATTTTAAAGTGTTTCAATTTTAAATGCTGCACAGAAGAAAAAAGAGATTAAAATGAAAACAGAGTCAACAGCAGGGGAAAATTAACAATACTATAGGTACAAGTTTTATCTCTAAAACTTTTAAGGGACTGATAGAAATCTACCAGAATAACACCCTCTCTCCAATACCCCCTTATCTACAACCAACAGCAGATAAGAACAGTCACACGGTGTCCACAGAACTAAACACTGGGGAAACATCCCACAACATTAATACAGACATGCATACTAAAACAATTATTAAAGTGCCACCTCACATCTATTACTAGGTGGAAAAAAACAGAAACTGGCTTTGGTTTGATAGCCAGCTTTGTGTTTGGTTATATATCGCAGGCAGCAGGTAGCACACCGGTACAGCCTCTCAGGAAGGAATTCCGTCGAGAATTGTTATATGACAGCTTCTGACCCAGCATTCCCATTTTTGGCACTAAATCACAAAGAAATAATTCAAAAGAAAAATATATTTTTTACAAAGATATTTATAGTTGCAGCGATATATGTGAGCTAAAACCTGGAAATAGCCCAAATGTTTGTCTGTGGGGGAGAACAGTATACTCATGCAATGTAATACACTGCCACCAGAAATGACAAATGTGGAACTGCCAAACATTTTGGAAATGACCGTAGCAAGCAATGGTAATTTTAAAATGAAATCAAATTTATAAAGGTAGAAGTGAAGAGATGCTACAT